ATCGGGCCGTTCAGACAAAAAGGTCCAGGACTAAATTCATGCTGCCATTTTGTACTTGCAAAAATCCATCGTCCAGACCCGTCTGCCGATTATTACAGTCAATTGTCTACACACAAATTTCTCTATTTGGTACCGGAATTTAAAACCATAACTGCCGACCATGTGAAATTTTCATTTCAATTTTAAGTGGGCCTAGGCATACAACCCTATCTTGTGTGTTAAATCAATCACGATTTCCATTTGTCGGCAACATTCAAGTTCACTCGGAACGTATAGGTAATCCAACTTACAGACCAAAATACATCGTAAGAGCCTCATTTTGTCTGTTATTTTCTATCGTATCCTGCTGAAAGACATTCGTTTTTGATCCAAAAAAGGCAATGCGGAGGCAAACGCAGTTGAACGAAGACGAACCGATCGTATTGAGGAGATCGGAAAACTTCTCGACAGTGTCCGGCAAGAAATCATCTCCTCCAGCAGTGCGCTTCAGGACTGTAAAGCACCTCAAAAGAACGCGCCAGCCAGTGCTCGCTCGGAGTCGTATTTTGAGGACAGTCGTTCCCTCCTCATCTCATGTAAGCTGTGTGCACTAAGCAAATAAATTATTTAAAAAACAGCTACTTAAATGGCATGATTAGTATTCTACATGTTAATACCGTTTTCTTCAAACAGGCCAGAAACAGCAGGCTCTGATGGAGGAGCTATCTCTGCTGAATCGAGGCTCACCGGTCCTTGTACCACCAATGCGTGGAGAGCCACTGAGAGCACGTTTCCGCCTCAATGGTATCCGACTTGCACTCAAGCCTGAGGCTCCCTACAGTCAGACGGGTGGCTTTGCCATTGTTGGTCAAGGCTCCGTTGGAACCTCGACGCCCTACGACAGTCCGGTCGGTGGAAGACGACCTGTCAAGTACCATCTAATAGCGATTCTCAAGTGAGTGACTTTCCCTCTTATTTTTGTGTGATTGGCGCGCACTAAATTTGTGTAATAATGTGCTTTTATATCCTTCTGCCCCTCAGGTGTGTTGGCGAGGGTCGTATTTACCATACAGACACGATAACCTTGATGCGCGTTTGTGACCTCCCCGTGGGCTATGCACGAGCGGCACCTTTGATCGATCTTCCTGCTAATATTGAGGTACGTTTAGTTTTTTTACCATATAGCCTGAATATTAATTAGTTCATGCGAGTCCTATACCGTGATTGGGTCACTTTCAAGTTGAGCACCACTCGCGTTTAGTTACGTATGTACCTTATTCTACATTCTTGACCAGGAATAATGGATATCCTATATCATTAAATTCTAGAATTTGTTTTCGATCAGGCACTATTACTTAAGTAGTATCCACTATCATACAGCGTAATCCCCAAAATATTTAAGTGATGCAAAAAGTGGATTCCAACACGCACCACAACAACACCCTACTAAGTAGGCTTCCGCGTGCGCGGTAGCGCCATAAAGCTCACACGAGGAAGGAGCCATTGAA